TCGCGTTTGCCCATCCCTCTGCATGCCTGCAGATAGCAGTCGCGGGCGACCTTTCGGTCACAGCGCACCGTGCCTACTCCATTCGGTGTGCGGAATTTCAGGCAGAGATGCTCAATTGAGATCAAGGCTCCTAAATCCTCAAGACCCGGTCGGCCAAGTATCGCGTTATGCGAGCAGGCCAGGTCTACCACAATAAATTTCATGCTGAGTTTCTGTACGTCCGGGTACGTGCCAATCTCCACTGGGAGAGTGATCGACCCTTCCGCCTCCACCGAGTCCCCTGTGAAGCCGGCGAGGGGAGTTTTGACGAGGTTCAGCTGTTCCCGAGTCAGCCCCATTTTGGTGAAGGTTTCTAGATATAGCACGTTGACGCTGCTCCCGGTGTCCACCAGGATTCGCCGAACGACGATGCCGTTGACGTCCATGGCTATAACCAACGCATCTCGATGCGGTATTTCTCCGGCTGGTAAGTCTCTGTCAGTGAACACGATGGGCTCTCGACACACCTTTTTGGAGTTCTCCTCACGCCCGTACACTGTCCCGACGTACAACTGCCAAGCCCAAGCTTTTCGGGTGTTCGCTGAATCACCACCTTCCGGCCCGCCGACTATCATGTTGATAACCGGTTTTTGGCGCCACTGAGCCTCCTCCTCTTCGGGAACCGGCTGTTTTCCTCGACTGCTTTCGGCAACGGCGACGGGCTCCTCATCCCCTCGACTGCCCGGTCTCCGCCTCCACTGGTTAGGAAGCGGGGTTCCTTGCTAGATGATGCCCTCCATAATCTTCTTCAGGTAGAAGCACTCCTCCGTACTGTGGGTATAAGATTTATGATAACGACAATACTTAGCGTTCTTACCCATTTCTTCGTTTGTCGCGCGATCGTCGATTAGCGGAGGCGGAGGCGGGGCAACCGCTTGTACCTCGTGGACCGGACGCTCGGGAATCGGCCGATAGGCGTGGACCACGGGTCGGTCGCACGGCCGTCTAACTTCGGGTCGCCGAGCCACGTCCGGGCGCCTTTCTTTGGCTTCCGCTCGCGTTCTCTTTCCGCTGGCAGATCCGCCGACTTCGCGCTGTCGCTTGTACTTCATAGCCTGCTCTGTATTGGCCCTCTTGTTGGCCATATGAATGGCTTCTGCGTAGGTGGCCGGCCGATTGTCCCTCAGGTCTCGGTACAGCTGGCCGGACCGCAGCGACTCGATGAAGAAGGTGAGCGCCGTCTGGCCCTCGACCTCTTCTATGGACTGGATTTCTTTCTGCCAGCGGGCCAGATAGGTTTTCAAAGATTCGCCTTCGTCTTGACGGATGTCACCCAAGTGAGTTAGGTCCTTTTGTGGCTTAATATTAGCGGCGTAATGGCTCATGAAGCGGTCTGCCAGCTCTTCAAAGTTGTGAATCGACCCTGAGGGCTGCGCCACCAGCCACCTTTGTGCTGACCCCTTCAACGTGGGTAAGAAAGCACGACACATGACCGGGTCTCGTACCCCTAAAACCTGCATCTTGGCCTGATAGCTCAGCAAATGCTCGCGGGGATCGCCGGTTCCATCGAACGTGGCTTGTTCCGGGAACTTGAAGTCACTCGGTATCTTAAAAGCCATAACCTCGTCTGAGAAGGGTAAGGCGGTCAGCAATGTACGTCCTGGGGATTTGGCTTTCCCCTCCATCCGTTCTTTCAGATTTCGCACCTCCTGTACTAGGTTAGCCACTTCGACCCTCTCCCGGGTACGATTTCCAGTGGATTCCGTGCTTTCGCCGACTTCAGACTCAGCCGGTCGGACGGGGTTGCGAGGAGGTTGCTAAACGCGACCGGTCTCAGTCCTGGCTCTTTTGGTTCGGCTCTTCTCTCGTGCAGCTTGTCGGTCGCGGGCGGCTAACGGGGCACGACTGGGCTCCTTCCGGCCTAATCGTTCCCTTGCCGACCGACGCCCAACGCTGGGACCTAGCCGGGAATGAACGGATTGTACCGGTTGGCTTTCAGCCCGTCGGCTCAATTGCCGGTTGTCGGGCCTCTGAGGCGGTTGCAACTCGCGTTGCGGCTGGCGAGTGATGGACTGTTCTCTCATTCCTAGGCTCGCTTCGGCGCAGGCGCGCCCGATTGCGCGTAACTGCTCCGGGGTGAACACCACCTGAGGTAATTGCGGGTTTATCTGCGGCGTCGGCGTCGGCGTCGTCTCGTTTTCTTGGCTCCGAGCATTTCTCCTATTTAGCTGGCTTCTCAGGTCGGCCTCCCGTCCGTTGTCGTGACGGCTCGACTGTTCCTCGCTTCCTGCCATGCCTGGAGTTTTCCTGATTCGACTGTTGTTCCTCGGACTCGCCTCACTCAAGAGGACACGTGACTCTTCGTTTCGATCCCCACGGACGGCGCCAGTGATGGTTTTAGGGTTTTTAGGCCCAAGGAGGTCCAACACAACCTTTTGGTCGGAGGATACACCTCTCAATAATATTTATGTCTAACTCAGAGATAATGAGAGTGCTCGGAAATTCTTTGTTATTCTCTCCTCTTCCGGGTGTCCGAAGTGTCTCCTCTTTTACAAGAATGGAGGAGCCTTTATATAGTGGTTCCTCCTCTGCCGACTTGATGGCCCTTAATGGCCGACTTCAAGGCTAATCAAGATATGGAGCCGTTGGACGCTGTTACTCGGTCGACCAACGGCTCTCCTAGGTTGGTAACAGCCCAACCGGGTCCTGTCTTCAATGCTTCAACTGCTCTCTTTTAAAGGAACGCCTTTAATGCCCTCAACGGCTCCTCGAGCCGGGTCCTTTCCTGGGCTTGGGCCTCAGCCGACTCCTGGACTCGACCTGACTGCTCTTTGGGCTTCTCCCGATGCTGGCCCACTTTTATTTTCTTTGGGCCCCTATCTCTTTGGGCCGGGGTCCTTACCCCATCAGTACCGACTTTCATGCCTCATATGGAACACTATTTACGAACAAACGCGTCTCTATAAAGTAATGGAAAATGGTCTAATAATAAACTATCAAACTATATGCAAACAATAATTAGGCCCTTAAACTATAAACAAAATTAATTGTTTGTTTTTAAATACCAAATATATGGCTAGGGCCCGTGAACAACCATGGCAGTTTGCCATTGTTCTTCGTCCAGATTTGGATGAAAAATAGTCACTTCGTCTATATATATATTTTTTTTGAAAGCTACTGGTTCTATTACATTATAGTATCTGTTCATATACTTTCTCAACCTACTGAAACACAAAGAACCAATAACGCCCCCACTGAGGGCTTGAACTCATAATCTTCCAAATGGAAGTCCAACCCGGGTACCATTAGACCACATAGTCCTGGTCTTCAAGTGCTTATATATTTGACTATTTTCCATAACCTAATCATCATCATCATCATCAATAGTACAACAATTAACATCTATGTTGTTGAAGTGGCAAATCTTACATTTAACTACACAAGTGGTGAGATATCTCAATCTCACATAATGCACAAGTTTTTACCTTAGTTTTAAAAATCATTTTTCACAAATTGATGAATTAGTGTGTATATTGAAGAATTTACTTAGCTTGCTTGATGGTAATGAATATGATGATGGTTGAATGCAATCAAAGGAGTAAAGAGAATTTTGAAATGAGAAATTAATTTGATGAAACATAATTTTTATATTTGAAAGTCATGTGATGGGGTGAGAACCCCGACCCAAGAAGATGGGCCCAAGAGAGGAGTCCAAGAAAGAAGATGTGGGCCAGCAGCGAAAGAAGTCCAGTGGAAAGCTTGGGCCGAGTCCAGGAGTAGGTCCAGGCCCGAGCACGGATAGAGACTCGACCCTAAGCCGGTAAGAAACATTGAAGAGCCTCATTTAAGAAGACTCGGCCCAGGGAGCCGTTGAAAGGCGTTCCAGCGTAGCTTTTAAGACAGTCTAGGAGCCGTTGGAGGCATTCAAAGCAGGACTCGGTCATGCAGACGGTTATGAGTCCGTAGAGCCGTTGGCCGGTCCGGTAACGGCGCCCAACGGCTTAGTAATTGTAATTAGCCTTAAAAACAATGATTAATGTCCTTCAAGTCGGACGGGGAGGAGCCCCTACTATATAAGGGCCTCTCCACCCTTGTAATGAAAAGGCGAGTCCATGCCCAGTGAATAAGAGACACACCTTTTAGCTACTATTCGACTACTCTTCCTTTTGCTGTCACTTTGTGAAAGGTGAATCCACCAACTAAAGGTTGTGTTGGACCTCCTTGGGCCCGAAAACTCAAAAACCAATATCATGAGTTTGATGTTTATTAACACCCTTTTTTATTAAACCCGTCACACATGATCTTCGCAATTGGTTTTATATTAAAATTTTACGTTTTATTTCTTCATATTTTTATTCAATATATACTCATATACATGGTTGTAAAAATCGCTAGGGGCTCATCGGGTGTTCGATGTGCCTAGACAGCAATTATAAACTATTTAATACTTTAATAGTTAATACTAAAATATAAAATATTAATCTAAAAAATATTTAGAGTTTGAATAATGTAGAGTTATTTCGCTATAAAAAATAAAAAAATATATATAAAAAAAGCGAACAATAGATAATCGACCGACTAAACGGCCTAGGCGCTCAGCGCCTAGGCCACTTCAACCACCAATTATAATGATACGTTAAGCGGTCGATTGATATTTAGCATCTAGGTGAAATTTTTGCAACACTACTCATAAATACTGATTATGAGTTTTCCTTCTTAAAAAATGTAACAAAAATCAAATTATTTGTGAAATTAATCAGTCATTTTGATGATTAGTTGTTCACGGATTACATCACATGACTGTCAGGCCAACTCAAGCCAAGCACGGCTCTTGAAGGTGTGGACCACCAAAACGACAGCCCCTCTTGTCAGAAACGACAACACTATATTTTTCAACAAATAGATTAATTAGTACTATGAATTTATTTGGCTTAGAATCAGCCACGTGTCATGATACTATTTGTGATTTTCCAGATCTTCCCCTAGCCTTTTGGCTAAAACTCCACTCATAAAAAAAATGGGCAAAGCTCAAAAGTCAATTCTTACAAAATAAAAAGAAAAATATTTCTTAGATTACACAGGGAGAGAGAGAGAGAAATGGGGGCGGAGAGTTGGAGCTTGACGGCGAAACTGTGCGACTCCTGCAAGGCGGTGTCGGCCACCGTGTTCTGCGGCGCCGACACGGCGTTCCTCTGCCTGGCGTGCGACTCCAAGATCCACGCGGCCAACAAGCTGGCGTCGCGCCACGCGCGCGTCTGGGTCTGCGAGGTCTGCGAGCAGGCCCCGGCCAGCTTCACCTGCAAGGCGGACGCCGCCGCTCTCTGCGTCACGTGCGACCGCGACATCCACGCCGCGAATCCGTTGGCGCGCCGCCACGAGCGGCTCCCCGTGGTGCCGTTCTACGACTCCGCCGCCGCCGCGGCTAAATCTCACGGCGCCGGCGACGACAGTAAGTACTTCAGTAACGAGTCCGATAACCAGAACCCGGAAGAAGCGGAGGAGGAGGCGGAGGCGGCGTCGTGGCTCCTCCCTACTCCGAACAACGCCAAAGGAGTCGATTTGGAGGGATCCGAGTACAAATCCGCCGACTACTTGTTCAACGACATGGATCCGTACCTGGATATGGAAATGATACCCGGCGGCGGCGGAGATCAGAAACCGCACCACCACCACCACCACCAACACTACAACTCAGACGGCGTCGTACCGGTGCAGAAGAAAACCGAGACTAGACACGTTCCCGGCTCCGTAGTCGACGGATTCCCCACATACGAAATAGACTTCGCCGCCGGATCTAAGCCGCCGTTCATGTACAACTTCGCCTCTCAATCCATCAGCCAAAGCGTAGGTTCTTCAATCCCTAGAAACTGTTTATCATTAATTACAATTCTAGAAAGTTCTAAATTCGGTTAAACGGATGACAGACATGCATATATATACATATATAAACTTTTCACCGTAAAATTAGGGTTCTAATTCTAAATGTTTGTGTTTATAGGTCTCGTCGTCTTCTATGGAAGTCGGAGTGGTGCCGGACCACAACGCCATGGCGGACGTGTCTAACGCGCCGTTTAGCCGCACCTCCGGCGGCGACGCCGTCCCCAACCCGGTGTCCGGACTGGACCGGGAGGCGAGGGTGCTAAGGTACAGAGAGAAGAGAAAGAACCGCAAGTTCGAGAAGACAATCCGATACGCCTCCAGAAAGGCGTACGCCGAGACCCGGCCGAGGATCAAGGGGAGGTTCGCCAAGCGCTCCGAGACGGAAGTGGACTCCCTCCTCGCCGCCGACGCGTCGTACGGCGTCGTGCCGTCGTATTAAAGCGCCGCCGGCGAAAATTTTGGGCAATTTTTGAGCGCTCCCGGTGGTCGATCTCAGATATATGTCAATGTTGTTGTTTTTGTTGGTGTTGTACGTTGGTGCTGTACATATGTACCGTGTTTGATTGAGTAGCTAACTTTGATGTAATTTTCTACATTTTCTGTTAATGGTAATGTAATGAGGTGCATTTTGTTTAGATTAGTTTCACTTTTCCTAGTATTTACTATGTATGAATTCCTATCATATATGTAATGTGAACTTCCTCAAGCACTGAATGAATATTCAGATGAAATCAAATAAACTTTACAAATGTGAATATGCTTTATTGGATAATGTTGTTGGATATGATCGTTGGTTTTCAAGTTGAATGCTGCTGACTCAATCAATTACATTATAGTATTTATTCAAACATACTTTCTCAATTTATTAATGATTATTAATATTTGTATTAAATGTAACTAAGTATATAACAACTCGAGAAAGAAAAAGAGGACATGATTTTCATCCAAAATATCACAATTTACTCTTTGTTTATGAATTCCTATCATGTATTTAATTCAGTGTTGTAAAAATCAGTCTAGGCAGTCGCCTAAGCGTCTTAGGCATAGAGATGGCGCTAAACTCGGTTGAGTGGTTTTTTTTTTTTTTTTTTTTTTTTTTTGTCTGCCCGGTTGCTTCTCTTCTATATTCCTCCGGCCATATACTTAACTAACCATCCAACTAAACATATGTAGTTTGACTAGTTTTAAGATTATAATAGTCTCACAACCTTGAGTGGAAAAAGTGAAGACAATATACTCAAATTACTCAACTGCCTAGGAGGCCTTCTGGTCGAGCGGTATAGTTGTGACCCCTCAAATGAGACCCCGATGTGGGGGCATTGACTTTTTGTGTTTCAGTAGGTTGAGAAAATATTAAAAAGAAATTATTGTCGTGGATGATCTTCAAAAAAGTGGTCACAACCATGAGTTAGATTTTTGGCAAACATTAGTCATATTTAATATAGCATTTATCATTATTTGACAAGTAGGAGATGATAATTAATAATAATTTGTATTAAAATGTACGAATTGAAGTAACTAATTGTTTTAAGAACTTTAATTTTAGAAAGAAAAAGAGAACAATCAAATATTTGCGAGGCTAATCTCTAAATTGTATGTAGCAGGATTCAAATGAATAAACAACTTAATGAAAATGAATCACCTTTATTATTTACCTTCGTACGTCTACAATTCATTCTTGCACGTCAAAGAAATATGTCATCATACACTTCAATCTAAATCATCGTTTACTATATATGAATTTATTATATTTATAATAAGATGATAGCTATCATGTCATATCGATTAAAAAATATATAATATAATTCTAAATTTATGATAATTATTAATTATTGCACATAAAGTCACACAATAAGAAAGAGGCGTGCATGGAAGTGATTCCCATAATAATGGAGTTGAAGAAGAGATAAAGACTACACATGCTTAGTAATAAAGATATCAATTGTCAACTACTACCTACCGTATTTTTTTTTTATTTTTTTTAGAGTTAAATCAATTCAACTTTTGTCATAGATTTATAGCTGATAATTTATTTTTAATCTTTTTTTTTTTCAAAAAATCTTTCTCTAGTCCTAGTATTATTGTGGTATAACTATTTTTTTATTCTTTATTAACAAAATAGTTTAAATTCCGTAAAATACAAAGTTATTTAGATATTCAATTATGATTTTTTTTTTAAAAATAAAAATAAAAATATAGCAGGTTTACCCACTTTGTACAATAAAGATTGAAATGACATCCCTTATACTTAATGACGTTTCTACGATTTTGTTGATGAAGGACAAAAAATGGTCATGCGATAATATATAATACTAGGACCAAAGGAAATACTCTGAAAAGGACTAAAAATGGATTGTCGCCTATGACCAAAAATGAAATTACCTCTTTTTATTATTTATAAATTCTCACTATAAGCTTCACATGTTGCTTATTTCGTCATCTAGTTTAATTTGTCCAAATTTTTATGAAATATAACACCAGAAATTTATGTTATAAGATTAATCGCATAAGATACATTTCAATATGTAACATTTTTGGAGAAAAATTAGTACTAATTTACGAATCAATAAATATTTCATTTTAGATTTACTTGTTCCTTACACATAGGAAGAATATTGAATCTAATCAAAGAATACAAAAGAGAGATAAAGAAACAATAGGAGATTGAAGGATATATAGAGAGTGCAAAATATGGCAACATGTTATTTGGCGAAAGGATCCTTTTAAGGTTATCAGGGATTGAGGAGTTACGGGGATAGAAAATCCCTCGAATTCACTTCAAAATATACTTTACAGATACATTATAAAAATCCCCAAGAAAGAGACTACATGTTTTGAAATATGAACTTTTCTTATTATTTTTGGAATAAACCCCTCGTTCTAATCTTTAAAATTTGTTCCTTATAGTGAAAATTTAATACTTATTAAATCATGAAAAATTATAGTGAAAATATTTTTAGAAAATAATTATTAAAAAAAAAAAAAAAAAAAAAGAGGAGGAAAACAACAGCTGCCGCTAAGTACGGCGTCTCTTTCAATACAAACGAGAATTTTTATTTTTTACGGAGTATTTTTTTTTTTTTTTTTTAAGAAAAAAGGACAAAAAGGGAAGATAAGGTAGTAAGATTTGGGGGGTCCACAACGAATCAAAATCTTATATCTCATTGGTAGTTGAGATTTCTCATTTTCCCCGCCTAACACGTGGCTATTTAGCCCGGTCAATGGCTCAATGTCCATGCTTGAAGCCCCATCATCAGTTAATCACCCCGCCAAAATATTATCATTGGAGTTTTTTTTTGGAAAAACAACCCGACGATTGTATTAATGAATCAAAGCAGCAATGGAGTAAGAAATGATAGAATTTCAACATATAGAATGGTCCTGAGTAAAAACTAAAAAAGCTAAAGTATGAGCATGTAAATTAACATGCCTAGAAACATAACTTAAAAAACAATGATCAAATAAAGTCATAGTTTTTCAAAAAAAAAATAATAAAGCCATAGATATCCTGCATTGGTCCACCACGACCCCAACATACGACAAGATAGTCGTTGCTTCCTGATGTAAAACACTTCGCAACTCCGAGCAATCGGTAAGAAGATTCACCGTTGTGACGTTTCTTTCCATTAGCCAAGATAGAGCCTCCTTACAAGCTAGAGCCTCTGTCATAAAAGGTGAGAAGCAGACCGGTAATTTTCCGTTCCTTGCCGCCATGAACGAGTCCTCCGAAGAGAGCAACACAATTTCATATGTGGCCTCTCCGGTAGCCTGCCTGAAACCGGCATCGACGTAGCATCACGGCCATGCATGCAACGTGTTCGCTGCTGCTGTTGCTGGCGTGGAGCGGTGATGCACCTGCCGGAACGAGTGCATGGCGGTGGCAAAAGCTATGGCCAATAACATTATAATATCGAGAAAAAAAAAAAAAAAAAAAAAAAAAAAAAAAAAAAAAAAAAAAAAAAACGAAATGCAAAAGCTATAATAACGAGAAAAAAAAAGAAAGGCCTCATTGTAATAGTGTTACATTTACATCACATAATTACACACATACATACGGTGTCAGTAAACTTCTCTACTTACCTGCTTCTCAAACACTAAAATGATCAATGTAAGAAAATGACATACAAAAATTGATAACACAATATACAGAATATTTTTGCCGGCTAAGGTCACAAGACGAAGTTTACCAGTGTACACCCTCGAGTAGTGACTGCAGGTTTTCTTCGTCATAGAAAAGAAACGGTAAATGAACAATATTACCAAGTGAAAAGCCTTCCTACACTTTGAACCTTTTCCTGCCCTGTTGACTCTTCTCCAATGAGGCAAGTAGATTCTCAAGCTCCTTAGCTTGACTACTCATTCCACCCATTGAATAAGCTTTAATCATGGTTCTGTATGTTACCTTATCAGGCTTACATCCTTTGCTCTCCATCATTTCTAGCACGCCTTTCATCTCGGCGAAGCACTCCATCATCCCGTATGCATCCACCAGGCAGTTGAAAAACACGGTGTCTAGTGTGATGTCTGAGTTATCGGCAAATCTCAAAATGCCTCGGAGTTTTTCAGCCTTCCCGGCTTGACCATATGCTCTGACTAGTGAACAAAGTGTGACGCGGTCTGGTTTGATCCTCTCTGACTGCATCAGCCGGAAGAGAAATTCCGTCTGTTTCAAGTCTCCGGCCCTCCCAAATGCATCGATTACGATGTTGTAGGTAACTATAGTCCATGAGAAATGGTATTTCTGCATGTATTGCATTACAGCGCTCATTTTCTCATAATTTCCGGTTTTCGCATAGGAATCTAGGAGGATGTTGAACGTCTTGATGCTGGGTTCAATTCCGGCACTCTGGAACTTCTCGTAGCACTTCTCCATCATTTCTATCTGCCCACTACCGCCAAATGCTCTCAGCGCGGAGTTCATGGTCCACACATCAGGACTGCAGTCTCTCCTCCGTAGCAATTCCACGAGTATGGATTCCATATCTGTGAACCTTTAGTAAATAAAAACCGTGTCAATTCCTAGCCCGCTAAATACAAAATACAGTCATCCTTATTCCAAAGAACAAACTATTCTTACAAGGCAGGACTATGTTAAGAAGTTCCAGGAATGAAATTAATGATAGGGCAAAATAAACGAGACAGGAAGTGATGCTATCGACAAAGTAAAGCATGCAAACCTTTTTGCTTTGCCATAAGAGTCAATGAGGGTATTATATGTAACTGTATTGGGCTTGATCCTCTGACGTTCCATTTCAGAAAGCAGATCACGTACTTTATCAAAGTCATAAACTTGCAAGCAGGATTTTATAAGGATAGTATATGTGAAGACATCAGGCTGACAATTAGGAGTGTTCTTCATCTGTTCAAGGAGTGAAAAAGCTTCGTCAAAAAGGCCACTGCGGCTATAGGCAGACAAGAGAGCAGTATAAGATTCTTGATTCGCAACACATCCTTCATCAATCATCATCTGAAACAATGATCGAGCTTTCTCAGGTTGCTTACATTTTCCAAGCATAACAATTAATTTGATATACAAACCGGCATTTGGCCTGTACCATAGCTGCTCACGAAGGAGTTCAAAGACCTGCACGTAGAAACAAAAATTATAATAAGCCAGGAACAAAACAGTCAGACAGCCACAGGACTATAACTCCTGAT